ATATGTGACACACCTACTTATAATTGTCTTTCTCGTATTGCTGGCTCATGATTACAAAATTTCAACAATTTTCAGATGGTGTTCTAAAATTATATGACGGACGCTGTCCCCACTCGGCTTTGGGGGAAAGTCACATCCAATGAGCAAGGTACGGAGGAAGCACCCTAATGAAATACCTAGAAATAAAAGTTATTATTGAATAACCAACAGGACTACTATTCGAAATACCAAATATTCAGGATTAGAAGCCATCCCTCTGTTCAAGGAGCACATAAGGAATATACCTTTTTCGGTAAGCGGCAAAGTTGGGTGAGTCTTGAAAGGCTATCGCACTCAACAAGCTACAACTTCACTCGGTCAGCCTTAAATTTAGAAGATAACTCCTTTAGTAGGATGAGCAGGCCTGATGAATATCACAGATAACAGCTGCTCACAAACGACGATCGATGGTGAGACCGACGCAGACTGAAGCCAACTACTGAGCCCATCAAAAAGGCCGTAGCTAGTTCCAACTCCTGCCTCTGAAGGCTTCAGTATGGTATTGGGTTGCAACTGGTTACCCTTCCCCTGCACCTCACAAAATGCTCTCATTGGACCAAGCATCTCAAATAGCTTCTGCTGAGGAAGCACTACTTACTACCTCTTGTGGTGGTTTTCCGACGAAAACGGGANCCCGAGGCTATAACCAGGTTGGTGAACTACTGGCAGTTCACCTAGGGGTTAGATAAAAGCCGTGATTTCAAACAAACTAAGTGGAGGCGTAAAAAACCACGCATACACCTTCCTGGTCGTGGTAGTGGTCACCGGCTAGATTGGGCACCTAGGACGTTTGACCCCGCCCGATTAACTGAACACCGGCCCCAATGGATTGCGGTTTTCGCACATCGCCCCGCTGCCTTGCGGGTCAGGCTTTGGCTAACCGAAAGCTCCAGTTGTGGATTTCTCAAGAAAATTTACCTGCCTTGGCCTGGACAACCTAATAGCATTGTGCCCTGGAGGGAATCATGAACCTTTTTTATTTCACTTGTAGAACACTATTATGACTTGACCAGACCTGAATGCAATTTTTACCGTCCAGATTCTGCGAACAAAGAACACCATACTTAATTGCAAAATATTCACCTTTTCCGTGAACAAAACAGAAAGCACTCGAATATTTCTGTGGACAGCAACAACCTTAACGCCGCTTNTACTCACCAAACGAGAGCCAGATTCCCTTCCCATGCAATGAACCAAATCCAGTACCTTTTCCAAAGATGGAATCGTTAAGCTTCCCCAATCCTCCAAAGCATTCTCAACTGCAGGACCAGATAGTCTTCATCCTGCACTTCGCAAATATGGAACAGCTTCACTGGCTAATATGATGACATCCCTGGTTAATGAGTCCGTCTTTTCGATCGATTCCTGATTTTTGACGTCAAGTTACTATTATTCCAATCCTCAAATCCTCGTCCACAACTGTTCTCGTGAAACGGTTTCTTCCCATCGGGCTAACCTTTGCAGCTCTAAAGTTGACTGAAAAAGCTATTCTGAACCGCTTGCAGTCAATTACCACAATCCTCCAGTTTGCATATAAACCCAACAGAACTTCACTGGACGCCGTATCCAATCTAATCCACTTTATCAGTATGTCATTGAACAATCCGACCCAGTCTGTTTGTTGTGCTTTTCCTGAATTTTCTTCCGCGTTTGATGTTGCTTCCTGATCATCCCTTTTTAAACGTGAGTCTTTTGGCACTCCGAGACAGTTGCACTCGTGGCTTTCTAACTATTTCACAAAGAGGGTCCGGTGCGCGGAATTGGGAAGAAAATCAAAACTTCTTGTTAATAATTCTGGTGTGCTTCAAGGTGTTGTTCTATTTCTGTATCTCTTTTCTGCTTTTCTTAGTGGTCTTTTGATTCACCCCCTGCACACATCTTAAAGTGTGCTGACGTTGTTGTTTTGTGTTAGACAACTTCTTCTTTGGATTATTTCAACTGAAAATCTGTTCGACATCCATCAGATTCCCAACTATTCTGGTTTAATTTTTAACATATCCAAGTGCTTATAGTTTATCTTCAGTCATTCTAGCTCCTAATTTCCAACGGACTCTGCTACCTTTAACGGTAAACCTATATCCAGAATGACCTCAATCAAGTACCTGGGTGTCACCATCGACAGTAGTCTCCGGTGGTTCACACCTTTCTCTTCAGCTACGCAAAATCAGGCAATTCGGAATCCCACAGTCAATCGTGTCTTCTCTCGTTGAACAATGTGTTTCTCCCATTCTATTGCTCCTCTTTGGTGTTTACCGGCCACTTAAAACAAGACTTCGAAATCATTCGTTGTGTTGTCGTACATCATTAATCCCAATCGATTCATTATTCACAGAACTCATCAATGGTCACATTAACTTTTGTGTTAAATTTGCCAACAAAATTCTAGA